TGACAAGTGATACTGAGTGTGGCTCTGCAGCAGGGGCACACAATCAACAAAGGGAAGATTAGGTATGAGACTGAGGAGACAGAGCCTACTGACAGAGCCAGCAAGAGGGCCTGAGTCCTACTCTCTTAGTGCTTGTTCAACCCACTGCTTGTTTCTCAGTCCCGGGGTTCCAGGGCTTCTACATGGTGTGTTATAAATTTCTGCAGGACTTTGTCCACTCCTAGCTACAAAATTCTAGTCGATCAATGCCCTTTGCATCACCTGAGGACATGCAGTCCCAGGGACCAACCATTGCTAAGCCCACAGGCTCCACAACTTAGCAGCTTAAATTAGCAAAGATTTTAGGGAGCTAATGGGAAAACAAGAGGACATTCTTTAAGAGATGGTGAAAAATGCATCTTCTGAGATACTATTTGTGAAGTTCAATTGTTTTCAATCCCCTCTCTGTTGCTTCCATTTTCCATGAATTTCTGGAATCACACTCATATTTTAGTATTATGACTATTACCAATTTGTGGGTGCAGAGCTGAGGAACAGCCTAGCTGTATGAACCTCTCCTGGCTTGTGGCTGCTAGGGAGGCCACTGCTGGTGGTCAGCTCAGAGGCAGGCTCTTTGGAGGGTCCCAGGGGACACCACTCTCTCACTGGTGGCTTTAAGCTGGAGGCCTTGGTTTGACTGGAACTGTTGGTTGAACACCTACTCTGTGTAGAAGACTTCTTGTACCTGAGCTCCCATGGTGATAATCCTAGGCTTCTACCTTGCCTGCTAGGACATTCATCCAGGTATAACAGTGAGGTAGGCATGGGCACCTCTGTCCCACCCTCACATAACTTCCCAGAACTCGAGCTTGCCAGAGTGCAAACTCAGGCTCTCTACCATGGGACTCAAGCTGGGATATACACCCCTTCCAGGCAGGGAGGGTGGTTCTGCACATTTTTATCACTAAGCCTGGGAAGGGTACATCCTATCTGTTACCAGAAATGCCCGGTGGGTTCTTTCCTCAGCTTAGTATAGAAATAAAAAGCCTGGAATCTGTTGCAAACAGAAAAGTTTATTTGCGAAGGGACCAGGGAGCAGGGAAGGGAAGGATGGGGAAGCACCTCCGGAAGAGAAGCCGGGAGGTGGGGTGCTCTCGAGAGAGGAGAGAGAGAGAGACACCAAAGGTTTGAGAAAGGGTCTAGGGGTTTTAAGACTTCCTTGACCCCTCCTTGTTGGGCGGGGAACCTATAGGTGAGATGTTCCCCATTGGTGGTCTCTTAATTAGTTAAGAAATGGGTGGGCAATGCTGGTGCCACCCACCTGAAGGTGTGGCCAAGACCTCAGAGGACCTGGATGGTCTCAGTCCCCCCTCTTGAAATCCCACATCCTACTTCTGTAGGGGAAAAAGGGGCGACGATGTCTTCTGGCTGCTTCCTGCTGAATTGGGACGACGTTTGGTTAAGGGGCCCCTGAAGGTGTGGGATCCAGAGAGATGGTCCAGGTCATCCAAGTTGCCATGGCAGAAGTTGGTCTGGTTGTCACACAAGTTTGCATTTACAAGGCCCCCTTAGTCTGAAGACCCCTAATCAGGAAACAAACATAAGACAGTTGAGGAGCCAGTTGCATGCTCTATGTAGAGCAGGAGCCAACACAGATGCAAAGAGCGTCCATAGGCTAACTTTTTAGAATAGTTTGTGTCCAGGAGTGAAATTCCGCTCCTGTTCCCTGTACTGTGCTAGACCTAGGCTTTTGTCTGATAACCTTAAGTTGATGAGTCTGCTCAACAATGGGCCTGATTCTATAAGCCTGATTCTATAACGTTCTTAGTTAGGGCCCCATTTTGTTAGTTGCAATAACAGTATCAGGTGACAAGATGTGGGGGAGCATATAGGAAACACTTATCTGTTAGGTGCCTTTTTGAAAAGCAGCTTTAAATCCTCCAGAGCATCCCAGGTTGGTTCTATAGAATCTGGTTGACCTTAGACCATAGAGTCAGTATCTACCCCAGGAGGGAAAATGACTTTGTACATCAGGGCAAAGACTGAGGCTACAAAGACCCTTACCAATATCAGCCCTAACAAAGGGGCAGGTGTCAGAGGAATAACAAGTAAAGAGTGATAGAAGTGGAGATATCCCCAAGTACAAGCCCACGGCCAGAGATGTCCCATACAGTTACTTTGAACGGACCTCAGTCTAGGAGAGAAGGGCAAGGCAGAGAATCAAGCACCTGTGTCCAGCAAGAAAATGACCTTTTGAGAACTCACCATCAGGGAGACTTGAGGCTCCTCAGTATGAACTCAGATGGTGGGAGCCTAGATAGGAGTCCCTGGGATCCATCACTGGGGGGTCCTGGTTAGCAGACCCCTGCTCTCTCTGGAGCTGGGGGCAGCACGATTTCCAATGATCCCCTTTGCAGACGAGACATGGTCCCGGAGGAGACTCCTGGCCTGTGGTTCGAGGGCACTCCCTCTGGAAATGTCCTGGCTTCCCACAGTTGTAGCAGCACCTCATGGTCCTTTTCCCTGGGGTGGATGCACTCATAGCGGCCAGCATCTCACTGTGGCGCCTGTCCTTCTGCCTTTCCTTCTCTAAGTCTCGATTATAGTAAACAGCATTGGCTGCCTGGATCAACTGGTCCAAGGAAGACTTGTCAGGGTCTGCCATAAGCTTTTGGAGCTTTCTCCTGATATCTGGGGCAGACTGTACAAGGAACTTGTCCTTGAGGATCGCTCCACCCTCCGCTGTATCTGGGTCTAAATTAGTGAACTTCACAATTGCCCCCTTGAGGCGTTCTAGAAAGGTCATTGGTGGCTCATTCTCCCCCTGATGGACAGTGGTGAGCTGGCTATAGTTCAAAGGCTTAACTTTCGCCCTTCTTAATCCCTCTAGAATACAGTAAATGAAGTGATTTCGTTCCCACTCATGTCTTTCGTCCTGTGGGTCCCAGTTGGGATTCTTTGTGGGGATTGCCTCTGCTCCAATGGGGATGTTTGCCTTGTCTCTGATGCTTTTCCCCTGAGATGCATAATAATTGTTTCCAGCCTCACGAGCTTTTTCCAGCACCCTCTTTCTTTCTAAGGCATTTAGGGTGTCATCTAATAGTAACATTACATCCTTCCAAGCTAGGTCATATACCAACTGGAGTCGCTCAAAAGTTTGTACATATTGATCAGGGTTGTCGGTGTAACTGCCCAAATCATTCTTTATTTCCTTGAGTTCTCCAAGAGAGAAAGGCTTGTAACCAATCTGTACACCAAACTCTCCTACCCCCACAGCCTGAAGAGGAAGCATGGCTTCTCCTTTCACTGGAGGATAAGACCTAGAAGCCTTTTCCTTTGATGCCTGTGGATAAGGGGGGCAGGGCTCCTCCGGATAAGATAAGCAGGGACTAGGTCCCTGTGGAGGAGGGGCTGATGGAATCCCTTCAGGTGATTCCTTCAGTGAAGGAGGATCTTTATTCACTTGCAAATTACCTTCTTCCTTTGAGTCAGAAATGGCCAACTCCCCAGTTGTCTGAATTAGGTTTTTTTCTATTCTGCCATTCTTAAGATGATCCCGAAGATGGAGAAACATTCGAATATATGAAATTTCTACCCACCTTCCCCAACGTCTACAATAATTGTCCAGCTCTGAAATAGTATGGTAATTAAGACTCCCTGTGGGAGGCCAAGTTTCACCATTAGCAAGAGAGTATTTGGGCCAAGCCTTCATGCAGAAAAAGATCAAGTCCTTTTTGCTCACTGATCCGGGAACCAAATATGTCCCAATGTTTAAGGATACAACCAAGAGGAGTTCGGGAGTCCACTCGCGAATGTTGAGATCCCATCTGAGCAATAAAGAGACAATGAACAGGCTAGAGAGAGAGACTTGCCCCCTTCTCCCTTGTCTAGCCTATGCCCAAAGTGTATGTCAGAGCTGGGGGCAAGTCCAGTCTGACCCCGTGCGCAGTCATTACAGGAGTGGTCCTGCTGTCTGCCGGGACAGGATCCACAAGCTTGGGGACTACCACTATTACCCCTGCCTCGCCCCACCTGTCCGTGATCATGATCATTGTCCCATACCTTGTGCGCGGTCATTACAGGAGTGGTCCTGCTGTCCGCCGGGACAGGATCCACGAGCTTGGGGACTACCACTATTACCCCTGCCTCGCCCCACCTGTCCGTGACTATCTCAACCCCCTGTGGAGGCTCCGGAACCTTTGGTAACCACTTCTCCATGGTGATCCTTTTCCTGAAAATCTAAAGTAGCCCTGTAGCTAAGGAACATAACTGCTAATGTTTATTGCTTGAACTTTCTTCTCGGCCTGATCAAAATAAAAGCCCATAGAAATGTGCACGATCTCAATATGGCTGAAAGTTGGCAAGGCACGGAGCTGGCCTTAAAATAGGCTTGCCCCAAAACAAACTGGGAAACAAAAAAGCAAACTGGAAAATAGCAAGGGCAAGTTTCTCAAATTGCCTTGGGCTAGCTGATTGAGTTCCCCCATCCCAAATGGTGCCTGTTAAGAATCACAATAGGAATGCAAATAGAACCTTGGTGTTAAATTCCTGAGCCAGCATACTCCAAGACTGCCCCTCCCTTTTCCATGGCTGGTTCTGGCTTCAAAGGTGATAAGGTTTCTACCTGGCTGCAGGTTCCCTGAATTCCTCAAAGACTCCCTGTGGCTATCGGAGCTTCTAAGGGAAAAATCTCCTAACAGCGCAGCTCCAAATGCGCTCTCCCATTCTAAGGCTGTTTGGATTTCAGAGGCGGGAAGCTGCTTGGGTGATAGACCGGAGATGGGAGACAGAACAAAGGGACTGGCCTTTTCTCAACTCATCTGGGGAGTGTAGAGGGGGTCGTCCAAAGCTCCGCACGAGTCACTTTAAGGGATCAACCCAAGCCGCACACTCGTGGGGGTGGCCAGGAGTCTCACCCCTCCTCCACCGAGGAGAGACCAGCCCGAAACGTGGCTGGGAGCTCGGCACTAGGGTACCCATTCGGGCGGTCGGCGTTCAGAATCCACCTGGGGAGTTTCTAGTCACGCAGAAGTGTCGCCTCTGCCAGAGACTGTCAGTCCTCCTCCAGATTTCCTCCGAACACACGCACCCACGGCCTTGCTCCTGAAAGGAGAATGAAGGTGATAGGAAAGGGCAAAGAGGTGGTTAGGGATTAGGCCTCTGGAAGCCTGAACAGCCGCCCTTCCTTACACCACCCCCCTAATTATACAATCCCTCTGGAGGTTCGACCATAGCTAGGCCGTGGCCGGGGGTCCTCCGTGTTCATGCAGAGCCATGGGGTGCCAAGGGTCACTTCCACGGGTGCAGTCCCACTTGAGGGAAGGCATACAGACCTTGTGAAGTCTTCTCTCAGTTGAGCTGGGCCACGTGGCTCCCGTCTAGTCTCTTTTTTCGAGCCCCACGTTGGGCGCCAGGGAAAATATGTTACCAGAAATGCCCGGTGGGTTCTTTCCTCAGCTTAGTATAGAAATAAAAAGCCGGGAATCTGTTGCAAACAGAAAAGTTTATTTGCGAAGGGACCAGGGAGCAGGGAAGGGAAGGAAGGGGAAGCACCTCCGGAAGAGAAGCCGGGAGGTGGGGTGCTCTCGAGAGAGGAGGGAGAGAGAGACACCAAAGGTTTGAGAAAGGGTCTAGGGGTTTTAAGAATTCCTTGACCCCTCCTTGTTGGGCGGGGAACCTATAGGTGAGATGTTCCCCATTGGTGGTCTCTTAATTAGTTAAGAAATGGGTGGGCAATGCTGGTGCCACCCACCTGAAGGTGTGGCCAAGACCTCAGAGGACCTGGATGGTCTAAATATCCATGAGGACATGGATAGAATCTGGGGATGAAGCACTGACAGGAGACCAATGATGGTGGAAATCTCCCCATAGTTTATTACTTCTTATATACTCTGTCAATATGATGTCAAGCAGTCCCATTACACCAGCTGCTTTCAGCCACAAGCCCACACCCTGCAGTGCTCAGCTTAACAAGTGCTAATCAACTCCTTAGCACACAACAGGTCCCACCCCCCTTTTTTTTTTTTTTTTGTTTCAATGCAGACTTGAATATGCCTGTCTTCAGTTGTGAACTCTCACAACTGCCTTACCCATATCAGGAATCTCCATAGCATGACAGAAACCCTGTCTTAGGTTGGAGTGTGTCAGGTCCATCTTAACCATAACTGGCTACCATTAAATGTGTTGTCTGCTGCAGCTGCAGCTACAGCTGCAGAAAATATACTTGGGGAGGCTGATGACCCTGTTCCATGGCTAGGCAAGTCTTTAATGTGGTAGCAATTAGCTGACAGCATTTCACGGGCTTGAGAAACAAAGACCTGCACAAGTGAAACATATATAAAGGCATAATGTAGGACAAGAGACCTATATCACACAGCCTCTGCTGTTCCTCTGCCAACAAAACAACCCACTGTTACAAAGCAAGTATGTCAACAACACGTGTTAAGTTGTTCCATAGCCCACTCAGTTCTGCAAGCTTGTTCATTGTCACCAGAGTAGCTGGTGGTTTGTGGCTGGTGACATACTGGCTATGATGTTCACCATTATGCCAAAGTCTCTTTTAAGCTTTTCAGAAAAACAGAGGATTCTCCATTAGCCCCTTCAGTCACAGGCAAGATTCTGGGCAGCTGCATAATGAGAACATTAGCATTATAACTATCACCAATTTGTGGATGTAAGCTGAGGCACAGCCTGCCTGTGTGTTGTAGTTTATTTATTTATTCTTTTTACCCCAAATAAGGAGGCAATCTCAATTTCTGTCTCGCAGGAAAGAAGAATTTTCATGTGGACACAGTGAAATTTCAAAGCAAAATTTGTTAGAAAAGTTGAGAAAGGAGATTCTGTCCTAGTGACATGGGGCTTTGAGATCCTCTGCCATCATGGCAGGAGTAAAAGCAAGAGAGACAAACCTGAATTAATGGTGAGGAGAGCAGCTTTAAAGGTGTGCTTCAAAGAGGCTCTACAAAGACAAAAGGAAATTTCTGGTCACGCTGGTGTCTGGCTTTGGGGCAAAAGACCAGACAGGTGTCAGACATTGGACATTCCTGGCCTTGGGAATATGAGTAACACTTCCTCCAGTCCTTCAATGATAAGGAGATTAGGGTGATGCTCTTCCACACAATGGCTGGAGATAAGGGCTGATGCATCAGTTGGGGAATTAATATGCTAAAAGCACCATTGTCCCTTGGAAGAGACCTCCTCTGGTGAATGCAAGACATGATGGGGTAAAAATGCTCTTTTATATTTGAGGAAAAATGATAACTTGGGGACACAGAATAAACTAACTGCCTACTATCCAATATAACTCCAGCATTCCAACATGCTGTCAGGGTGCACTGGAACTCGGTGTCATTCACTTCAGAGGTGTTTCCTGTATGTAAGAGAGAAACATGGGGATAACACAGGCAGACACAAGCTTAAGGTTCAAGCAGCTGAGGTCCACCCACGTGAGCAAGTCCCAAAGTCCAGAGGAGGGATGGAACTTATACATTCCATAGGAATAATTGCATTCCTGAAGAAGGAACAACAGTGCACATGCCAGTGCATGTCCATGCCCCACAAAGATGTCAGATAGAAAAGGTTGGTATTTTCCCAGTGGCACTACACTTGAATGATAAGAAAAAGCACAGGCAGAAATTGAGCTATTTATAAAGGGAGGGCTAGACCCCCAACAACTAGTGACACTCAGGAGATAGTCTGATCATCTAGTTTAAGGAGAAACTGGCAGGAAGTATCAGGTCCTAGGTGCTCATAGGAGAAAGTAAAGAGAAAGAGAGGGTTGCTTAACAAATACTAACGTACTTATATAATATAAAATGTTCTAATATAGTTGCTTGTTGAGTCGATCTTCTGACTCAAATGCCACCAGCGTAGCCGGTATGCAAGTTTCACAAAACTCTGCAGCAGGAGCTTGCTGGACAAGTCTCTCAGGAATCCACTGTGGACTATTTTCATTTTCTGGGATAACATAAACTGATCCTCACCCCCATTCATGAGGACAGGATCTGGGGCCTTGCCACTGACCAGTCAAGGGAAACTTGCAGAGCAGATAACTCTTCTGCTTCTGAGATGGATTCCAATGACAATCTGCAACAGACTGCCCTTCACCATCCAATGTTAGAAAATTCAAAATAAATATATGAGGCTCAAATAATTGCAGGGCGTGCTATATTCCTGCTTTTTTGTTTTAGTAGGGTAATCCTTAGTAGTATGGTTGCCACGTTCCACAATATCTTGTCTTTGAGGATACTAAGTAGAGGGGCCTTAGATCTGAGTTACCAGGTTGCTTACTCTTATGGGGACAGTATAAAATGAAACCTGTGGCATGGCACAGTGGCGCAAGTGGTTAAGGTCCTCGCATTGCACGCCTGGGATCCCATATGACCGCTGGTTCTATCGCGGCAGCCCGCTTCCCTTCCAGCTTCCTGCCTGTGGCCTGGGAAAGCAGTCGAGGAGAACCCAAAGCTTTGGGACCCTGCACCCGCGTGGGAGACCGGGAAGAGTCTCCTGGCTCCGGATCGGCATAGCATTGGCCATTGCGTTCACTTGGGGAGTGAATGATCGGACAGAAGATCTTCCTCTCGGTCTCTCCTCTCTGTATATCCGCCTTTCCAATAAAAAAAAATAATAAAAAACAAATCTTTAAAAAATGAAAACTGTCTGTGCTCCCAACTCCTTGAAACTTTTGAGGATTGGAAGTCAGTGTTGTCACATGGTCTGTCAGTCCTCGCTTTGTGTGGACCCTAACTCTGGGGTTCATCCATGTGGTTCCCATTTCACTGGATGCGCTGAGGACTTCCCACTCTGAGGGGATGCTCTTTCAGTGAAATGTGACAGTTATGCACAAGGCCTTCCTCTATGGGTTGTGGGCAGGAACAGAGTGCATTGTGATGTTCCATCCTGTTCTGTTGGTATAAGCCATATTTTAAAAATATATATTTGTTTTAACGTTTATTTCATTTTTATTGGAAGTCAAATACAAAGATTTATGGAAGGATAGAGATTTAGATCTTCTTTTCGTTGATTGACCACCACCCCCCAAGCTACTGCAGCAGATGATGCAGAACTGATCTGAAGCCAGGAGCTAAAAGTTCTTCTAGTTTTCCCATGTGTTTTCAGGATCCCAAGGCTTTGAGCCTTCTGAATGCTTTCCCAGGGCACAAACAGGGAGTTGAATGGAAAGCAGACATCCAGGATAGAAGCTGCATCATTATGGGATCTGGTCGTGTGCAAACTGAGGACTTAATCACACCAAGCTTCCACTCCAGGCACTAAGAGATTTCTGTTTTAAGATGAATATTTTCCTTGACAAAGTAGATTTACAGAAAGAAGGAGAAGCAGATGGATATGTCTTCCATTAGCTGTCTCACTCCCCTGATGCCCACAACGGCCTGAGCTGAGCTGATCCAAAACCAGAAGCCAGGAGCTTCTTTCAGGTCTCCAAGTGGGTTCAGGCTCTCATGGCTTTGCACCATCCTCAGCTGCTATCGCAGGCCACAAGCAGGGATATGGATGGAAAGTTGAGCATCTGGAATTTTATCTGGCTCCAAAGGGGATCCAAGCCTTTGTAAGGCTAGGATTTAGCCACTGAGCTATTGTGTTGGACCTTGGGCATGTTATTTTTGTTGTTGTTGTTATTTTTCTGTAATTTGCATGTGCACTTTCTTTACCATGTGAACTTTCACACTCACTGAAACTCCTACACATATCTCTTTAAAAGATAGATTGGTATTGTGAAAAAGAAAAAGCAAACACAAACAAACAAAAAATAAGATTTATTGGGTTCCCCTCATTTACTACTACGCCTACTGATAGTGGTTGCATAGCAATCTAATTCGTACCTGTGGCCCTGCCGTAACTTACTGGTGCTGGTTTGAATCCTGGCTGTTCCAGTTCTGACCCAGCTGAGTGACAATGCACCTAAGAAAGCAGTATCAAATGGCCTAAGTACTTGGGCTCCTGCACTCACATGGGAGACCAGAAGAAGCTCCATGCTCTGGGCTTCAGTTTGGCCTAGTCCTGACTATCAAAGTCACTTGTGTTGTGAACGTATGCATGTAAGATCTCTGATTATGCCTTTCCAATCATCTTTATGAGAGGGTACACAAATATATAAGTGTATTTATACACAGTATGAATGTATATGTACATCATTCATATCAGCTTTGTATCATAAATATACAAATATACACATTCCAAAATTCAGAAGTGTTGGAAGGACATGGAAGAGATCCCACTTTCTCTTAAGAAACCAATCAGAAGACAAACATTGGAGTTGATGGATAGAGCACCTAACCTACTCTGACCATGACATCCTGCATATGCATCAGACATTCACTTTTTCCACCCTTTCAATGCTTCCTCCTTATGTGTGGATGAAAGCAAGATAGAAGTGATCAGCCTGGTCACCAGTGTGCAGGTATCTGTGGGTTCTCCTGGAGCAGTGACCTGAGGGAAGGCCATGTTGGACTTTTACCAGATGTTTGATGATGATGATGACAGGATGGGCAGGACAGTAGGTGGAGGTATAGAGAAGCTTAAATAGTGTGTTGTAATGGGCCTGAGAGGAGTGTGTGGTCTCGCAGCTCCCACTGGAAAAACTCTACGGGAGGGAAAATAGCTCCTATATGGGGAATAGGAGGACAGATGATTTGAGAGCAGCTGGAAGATTTGGGTGCTGGCATCAGCCTCAGTGATACGGGATGGTGGGCAGCAAGGCATGTGTGCTTGTGCTGGTGAACAGCAATGACTCTTCCAGATCTCTCATGTGTCTGCTGCCTCTCATGAGTTTTCACTGTCCTAGATGGCTTTCCCAGGCCACAAGCATGGAGCTACATGGGAAAAATGACCACCAGCATTTGAACCAGAAGCTTTATGGAATCCTGGCCTACGCAAAGTAAGGCCTCAGCATCTAGACTAGCGTGCCATGACACGACTTCCAATCCTGAATCACTATCATTAACTAGACAACTCTGTTTTGGACCTAAATCACCTTGTTTTATGAGGTAATTATCCAAGACCTAGAACCATATTGGCACACATTGATTTTGCTGCCATATGTGGATGATTTACTCCTCACCAGTCTGTCTGTGGAAGATTGCCAGAGAGCTACTAGAAACTTGCTTGAAGAGCTAGGAAGGTTGAGTTGTTGTGCCAGTTCAAAGAAGGCCCAGATGTGCAAACAGTTGGTAATCCACCTGGTGTATAAACTTAAGGAAGGGGCTCAAAGCCTAACAGCAGTCATGAAAGAAACTTCACAGATTTCCCATGCCCACCTCCCCATGAGAGGTGTGAGTATTCTTAGGGTCAATGGGTTATTGCAGACTCTGAATACTGAGTTATGCACAGTTGGCTCGGCTCCTGTATGAGGCCACTAAAGAGCAAAAGCACTAGACCTGGCTAGACAGACAGGAGCAAGCCTTTGAAGAACTGAGGGCTGCCCTCATTAAAGTCGCAGCACTGATACTCCAAACCATTAAATCCTTTCATCCTCTTGAGGAATGAAAGAAAGGGGATTGCAAAAGGAGTCCTAACACAACAGCTGTGCCCATGGAAATGACCAGTAGGTTATCTATCAAAGAAACTATATCATGTTGCTGCTAGGTGGGCACTGTGCCTCCGTGTCATAGCTGCTATTGCACTCATGGTGTGGGACACAGACAGACTGACTTTTGGCAAGAACTTGAAGATTGTAGCTCCTCATGCTGTGCAGGGAGTCCTGAGACAACCCCTGATAAGTGGATGAGCAACGCGAGGCTCATGCACTATCAGGGGCTCTTTGTAGATTCTCCTGGATTGGGATTTCTCAAACCATTCATTTTGAACACTGCCTAACATGCACATGGAAACCTTCCTTCATGACTGCCATGAGACCTTGTCACAAGTCACTCAAGCTTGCCACGATCTCCTGGACCTGCCCTTGCTGAACAGTGAGTTAACCTGGTTCATGGATGGTAATAGCTTAGTGAAGACTGGAATACAAATGGCAGGGGCAACAGTGGTCGATCACAATGGGGAAGTGGTCTGGAGCCATGCCCTTCCCCTGCGATCCTCAATGAGGAAGGCAGAGCTGATTGCACTACCTGAAGCTCACGTACAAGTGGGAGGATATAAGTGACTGTTTACACAGATAGCCATTATGCCTTCAGTACTACATATGTTCACTGAGACATCTACCTTGAGCGAGGCTTCATGACAACAGATGGAAGGGAGCTGCAAAACCTGACAGAAGTACAACACCAGCTTACAGCAATAGAGAAACCCAAGGCAGCTGCCACGGTGCAGGTTCCTGGTCACCAGTCAGTAAACACTGCTGAGACAGTGGGGAACCACTGTGCACATAAAGAAGCAAGATGGTGTGCCATTGCTGTT